GTATGCAAAATTTCATCGAGATCCGTTCAGTCATTCCGGAGGTATCTTCAAACAAACATCCAAACATTCGCATAATATTATTTTTTATAAGACAATTTTCACTTAATACGTGATTTAGAGAAAAAAATAACAACCCACATTTTCCTTATGACCTAACCCACTTATTACCTGACGGTTTAAAATAACCGTGGGAATTAGTAACTGTGGACTGTAACGAATTGTATGAAACAAAATTCATTAAATTATTACCTTCATAGATCTTTAGAGTTCTTTGTCAAAATATTTAAAGGGGATAGCTAAGCAAATATGCATCATTGTCAAATCTCATTCATAGAAATTGCATATAATTCATGTGTGTGAATCCAATCCGCATTGGGTCACCGTTGTTGCCTGAGGTCTAATTACCCAGTAATCAGAGTAAGTTACGACTTAAGGTCCTTCAAGAAGCGAGCTTATCACTATCTCAAATGCCGGCAACGCATCTGCGGTTCCTCTGGTATTGTTGATGTCCATGGGCGTCGTTGAACACCTCCGTGTTCCCGCTGCTCGTTTGCCCCCTTCTGTTACAAAAAAAAGCTCGATTCTCTTTTCGAAGTCATGTTTTGAAGATAAATTAACTTCAAACAAATCTTCGATATAAATTTTACGGAACCCTTGTTTTTTTTATTGTACTTAACTATGTCGTGACCCGGAAAGTACATTTATAATTGCTTCCACCGAATGAAATATATCAACCACAATGCCGGAACGCACGGCGCTGTGTGCCATCCGTTACTCGGCCGGGTTCGATTCCATGGACAAAGACCGGGCTATTTTTATACGCTGGGCGGATGCGTTCGCGCATATACAGTGTAGTGGTAGCAAAACAATTAGGATATTACGCACATATTTCTATTCTTTTTTAACTTTTTCCATCTTCCTTCATAAAGAAACATTCGATAAAGAATTCTAAATTTTATTGATAGTGGTTTTTGATACGTAATTGATAAGTAATAAATACATTTTTTATTTCATGTTTAAATAAAAATGACAATAATTAGATTAATCGTTATTTATGCATACTCAATTTATCTATTTTACTTTAAATTGTGTAGTGTTGAATTTTATATTTATCTCTAATAAGAAATTCCTTGTTATCCTGTCTGTATTTGCTGACTGTACTTATTCACATGTGCGTGTGAACGGGAGCAACGCAGACGCACAAATAAACAGACAAAACGGACCCTAATATAAATACAAGTGCAAGCAGCTCCTTGCGCCTTTCGTTTGTACGCTATACATATATCTTTATCAAATTCCTTTGTACGTTCTGTCCTTCGAATAAAGTTGCGTATTTTTCTGTGCGTTTGTTATATTTTTAGTAATGCAGACATTGTTTAAATGACTCACTCTTTTTAACCTTGGTGGAGCATACAATTGGTATCGTGTTATTAATTTCACATCTTACTATGAGAAAAGGTAAGATAAATATTATGTTTTAGTGACTGCAAATTTTCGTAAAAATGACGTTGGATTTCAACTGCTGAAATACTCAGATAAAATCATGCCATCTTTTTTATCCTTTTAAAAAAGAGAGTATGTTGATGAAATTTATTTGTAAGTAGCTGTTGCCCTTCCACGTTAAATAAAAAACTTTAAAAGTAGCCTATGTCTTCCAGGCTATGTTATTCATCTGTGTTATATTTCATCAAGATTTGATACGTCCCGAAGAGACCTTGTATCAAACATCTATTTGGATGGATGGAACTAAATTTTCTCATTTATAATATTAGTAAGATTAACCTAGGATGTAGCGTCGGTGGCTGAGGGTTTCTAAACTTGAGTTGTAATCTGCAGGTCCTGGGTTCAAATCCCACCATGTACCAATGTATTTTTCGATTTTCGATTTACATATGTATATTTACCCGACGTTCTTACGGTGAAGGAAAACATCGTGATGCTGCACATATCTGAGAAAAAATTCAAAGATATGTGTGAAGTCAACCCGCACTGGGCCCGCGTGGCCTATGGCCTTTTTTTTTAAGAGGGGGAATGCGTTACGCATACCGGATGCCTCGGTGAAAGCCACTCCGGTTATGTGGGACTCTCTCCACATCCCTAAAGGGACAAGAAGCCTACCCACTAAACCCCCTCTGGTTACCTCGACTCACTGTTTACCGGGGTGTGGGCACATGTGAATACACAAGCGTGGCCTATGGCCTAGTCACCCCCAGCTTAGTGTAGGCTCCGAGCTCCTAAATGGGGACGTATTTAGCTGATGATGTAGATGAACGTAGGATAACAAGTTTTTAAATCTTATTGTATTGTTACGATATGATAACACTGAATACTTTTTTTAAAATTAAAATTACAACGTTCCTGACTATTAATAACATTCTAAATTGGGTTTAAACGAGAAAACTAATGGCATTTTTACATCTCCACTTATGTTTAATTAATGTAAAGGCCTTGTTCATTAATTAAATTTAAAATTAATTCCAAAAGATGTACATCATGTAGTCGAAATTGTATCAAACGAAGACAATTTCGACGAATCTTAGCCAAAGTTCGAGGGAAATGTTCTCTGCAGTAATGGAAGACAGATTATAAAATTGATTTCTCGGAACGTTAATTTTAGGTTTTTACTAGGTTAAAGTCGTGGGCGATAACTAGTCTTATTTATAAAATTCTCGTGTCACAATTCGTTCCCATACTCCTCCGAAACGGCTTGACCGATTCTCATGAAATTTTGTTAGCATATTCAGTAGGTCTGAGAATCGGTAAACATCTATTTTTAACCCCGGGCGGACGGAGTCGCGAGCGACAGCTAGTTGTTTATAAAACTAAAATTGATAAATTAAATTTTAGTGTCCACATCAGTAACTCGACTGTATAACAACTTTAAGTTACCAGTATCGAGATAAACTCTTTGATATTCCTTTTGTGTAATTTGATACGATACTGTAACTGGTTATTTCCGCTTTGAATCGGTTGTACACGTGACTGATACCGAACGTTACAATTACGTGATGTACCCTTATTATTTAGGGGACAAACGCCTTAATTACTAAATAGCTAGCATTCTGACAGGAAAATAGCAGTAAAAATAATCAAGGATATATCAAGGTAACTTTCAAAATTAAAAACAAAAAGTTTTGTAAAAAAAACAGGAGACTATCCACGAGAAAGAGATAAGACATATAACAGATGGAAGGATAGAGAAGGATAGATAGTCATTTGTCAGACACAAATTTACACCTTTAAACTACAGGCATGTATTAATAATATAAAAAAACTATTTATTTAAGTTCACAGATAAAATACAAATCATTGTCTTAAACTTTAGTACGTTTTATTTTTTTCTCAAAAAGTTCTTACAAGTTGCAATTAAAGAAAATACTAAATCACGGGTTCGAGAATTCTAAACTAAAACCCATTTCCTTCACATTTCAACATTAACAGCTTTAAGATGGAACTATCGATTGGATTCCGAGGCTACATACGCCGAGATGGGTCAAGTTTCTCTCAAAACAATGTTACAGAGAAATGCTTTCGAAAGAAATAGCTTGCAATAAAATTCACCGATCTATTTGTTCTGAGTTCTTCAAGTGCGGATCCTGAAGATATTTGTCTGGGTTAATACTAATTCTTCGTAAATTTAATAACTAATTTACACTTTAAAGTATATTCAATATTTATCTTACAAACTTTACGAGTAAGAAATAACATAGTAGTAAAAAAGAAAGCCGACTTCATAAAAAAAATAGCAAACATATAAAAAACATACTGAAAGAAAGAACCGTTCTGAAACAAAATGCACTAAAAAGTAACAAAATTATGTAATTAACAAACACCATCGAAAGTAAGTTTTCCCTTCTTTCTTGAAATATGCCTATACTTTGCAATTATTGTTATTTCGAAGTCGATGTTGGCCTGATGTCTTAGACCTATTTACGTTTAAGATAGTACCTAGACCGAAACAGACTGCAAAATAACACAAATAATTGTAAAATAAATCAAGTCAATCAGACCCTGTAAAGAATATAAATCGAATGACGTATAACCGTGGGCTTCTGGGGCAAAAATCTCCGTTTAAAACATAGTTTCATTTCTGTTAAGTTGAAGATATTGACAATGATATGTTTCATACAGAGAGCTCAGAAACCCGTGTTAACAGACGTAAGCAATACTTTATTTGTATAATGAATAAACAATTTTATCTCGTTAAAGATTTATTTCCAAACGTTAACGTTCCAATTTCAAAATTGGAACGTTATTTTTTTTTAATTAAAAAAGTTCTCGGAATTATCAGTAACATGAATGACAAATATACTTCACAGAGTATGATAATTGATGACAACTTTCTCGTAATTACGTCTGGTGCCAATTAGTGATTAGGTCATGTTGTAATCGATTTTTGATGAGATGGTTACTAAGAATGGATACATTAAGTGTGGCAATCGTATAATTATGACATATAGTGATTAACAGTACTATTAAGTCAAAAATATATAACGACGCGCAACCTATCGATTGTAAAGTTTGAAACTAGCTTGTGGTACTTTTTTTTCTTTTTTTTTTGAATTATTCTTAAGTTGCTTTGCTAATAAAGAGTTTCTATGTTTTTACTTACACAATTTTAATAATAAAAAATTTAAGCTTTTGTAATTGTGAAGGAAATAAAAATGTTCGATATAATGTTATCTGTGGTAGAAATTCAACGGAATGATTTAATTCAACATTAAACATAAAATACCGCTGTCTTAATATTACACGCGATTCTTTAAATTTATTCCAGACTACAATTTATGTACGTGCTTAACTTTCATGCACGGTTACCATTTAAAATGATCTCTTCATTATACATTTAAAGAATAAATACTCTTGTCAGGGATCTTTTTGAGAGCTCAGTTTAATCTGGCTATCTCAAATTACGTAATCCTTTGAATGATCCAAAGAACACCTTGCCTCTATAAAGATAATAAGAAGAAAACCTCACATAGTTTCGTTTTTTGTTACAGAGCGAGCGAGACAGCTGCCACGAAGCTTAGAGAGTGAGCGGGACAACATCAATAGTGTCCAGTTCGAAAACCGGTTTCAAGAAAGGATATAAGTTTTTTGTTGGAGGGAAAAAAGTGATTTTCGAACGCATCATCTAGTTATGCACGAGTTCCAAATTCGATTGCTGTGAGTGTGTGTGTCTTACCGGTCGTGCGTTCAGTGTTCAAAGTTTAAAAGTGGAATTATCAAGATGGCCGCGCTTCCCGCCTTTTTCGGTCTGCTTATGGTCGCTGTTGTCACAGGTAAGATTTTTTTAAACTGACCATTTTTTTTAGTTTAACGTTTTTTTCAACATATCATTTCTTATTTTAATATTGTTTTTATAGATAGAGTTCGTAATTTTTTTAAAGTTAAACCATTTATAAATGCACAAATATAACACTACACTTGAGTTACGTCACATTTGACTCAATCTTCAAAGTAAAAGGGACTGGAACTTTATTATGGGTAACTGAAAACCTTTGAACTGAATAAGCAAAGCAAAATTTGATAACGGACTTTACGCATGAATTGTTCGTATATTGTAATTAATTAATGGACTGCCTTGATCCTTACAAAATGTCTTCATATAATGTATTGTATGTCGCATTAATCTGTTTGAAAGGATATATATTTGATATTATTAGAACCATTTTTTTTTTCGTGAACAATGTGTTCGATATTAATTTGGTTCTAGGTGATTATTTTTGATAATAAATTTCTTTTGGTTATAGCTTATACATGTTTACTATCAGAAAATATTATATATATTAATCGAAAATGTCGAGGGTCACGGTTGGACCTTTATGAAGTTTCAAGTATTTCCAATATTAATGCTTTTGCCTTCCATAATTAAGTCTGGGATATAACCTCTAAACTTTGAAAGTTTAAACTTTAGCGGTAACAATTCCCTGAAGTTGAGAATTTTCATAGTTTTAAAGTGACCTTTTAGATTTTGGCTTTATTATGCAAAACAATATAAGTACTTTATTTATTTTTCAAGATCGCACTTTGAAAGCCTACGCATAATGTTATAATTATGGTGAGTCTAACATCAGCGTGCGATTAAACAGTTGACATATGAAGCTAAAAGGTTAAAATAGTAAGTTTTTTACTGTCAGGCCCTTATGTTTTTATCCCCCGGTATAAAGTACACGAGATTTAAAAAAAAAATCAATGTTCCAACAACTCACTCGTCGTGTGTTTACATTTACAAGGCAACATCGCTTCTGTAAATATTTACAATGAGCTCAAACGATACAGATCTCTTTGTTTCCGGCTGATACATGATACCTCTGTTATTCGAACTCGGATAGGTCTGTAGTTAACTACACTGTGATTTTTGATACAAACTAAATAAGTGTTCGTAGTATATGCGACAATAAAAGGTAATTGCGGCCAATAATATTATTATTCTCGGCGGTATTTCCAAACCGCTACGACTTAGGGTCCTTCAAGAAGCGAGCAAAGGCCGGCAACTCGTCTGCTGTTCCTCTGGTATGTGTCCATGGGCGTCGTTGAACACCTCGGTGCTCCCGCTACTTGCTTGCCCCCTTCTGTTATAAAAAAAATAGTCACAGTTTATGCCACTAGTTGTCGCCCGCGACTGTTCCGCGTCGAATTGAAAAACATAATTAGGAGTCCATATGTTCTTCCAGACTATGTTCTATGTGTATGTCAAATTTTATTAGGATCCGTTGAGCCGTTCTGGAGATATCTTCAAACATCCATCCAACCATCTAAACTTTCGAATTTTTATTATTATAGTAAGATTAGCACAATTACGGCACAAATTCTTCTCTAAATGTTATTTTATTAAGGAACTTTTGTTAGTTTATACAAAAATAATTTGAATGTTGACCGATTTTTAACCCTCATGACATTTAGAAGTATAAAATCTCACTTTATTTTTTAATATGTTATATAGCATTTTAATAGGAATGCAAAATAAGAATCTCTAAGACTTGTAACATTTAAAACATCGAATACCTCGTGAAGAATTTGAAATCAATTGTCCAATATTCACATGAAATCAAATATTTTCCTATGCTTTATATTTTTCTATTGTTACACTCATCTAACACCTAACATGGGAAGCATAACTCAACACTAGACGAGAGGTATGTTGTAAACATTTTTTTGTGTAAACTTATCGCCTTGAGCGCCATCTGCATCGTTTCGGCCATGACAGTGGGGCAGGTCGGTAACAGAAATAAACTAACGTCCATTGCCCGCGGAAGATATGAACAAGGTGCACGGAATTACCGTCCCAAAATATAACAAATTGTATAAACTTTGGCCAAACTTGCAGCTGCTTTTATCTGTTTTATTATTGTGAAATTAGAAAGTAATGGAATCAAGTTCTAGAAGATGCTTTTTAATCTTACTAACAATATATATGCGACTGTTTAGATGGATGCATGTTTGTTTTAAGGTTTGATAACGACTGAACTGATCTCGATGAAATTTGGCATACATATACTACTAATTATGTTTTTTTATAATTCCATGTGAATAGACTCGCGGGCGACAGCTAGTACATAATATTAAAGACGAATTGAAGTATTTCTAAACATCCTACTCTTTGATATTTTAGTTATTCAGGTTTGCGTTAGGTCTTAGCATTTAAACTTAAATGCTAAGATCTAACGCAATCTGTAGTACTTAGTACGTAACAGGATAATTGTGGATGCACGAACTCTAGGGCGTAATATTACGTAATTGCTAATGTTATTTTGCTTCTACCTGCAATGTATTCCGTAAAATGCAATTTTACTTGAAGACTATTTCTTAATGTTATGACTCTTTAACTTTGATTATATTGTACGAATACCTCTCGATCATCAATATCAAATGAATCGTGAAATTAATGATTGCTGAAATGAAGAGCTGTTTTTGAACATATATTGTAATAAAGCATTTAATAGGACGGTGCGAGGTTAATTCCTATATTTGACCCAAACAGGACAATCTAAACAAAATTGTTAAAAATAACAAAATTATAAATTTTAAAAATTATTAACAACTCAATATTTAATTGCATAAAATCAATGGAAGTTACATTTCATCTCCGTATTTTGGAATCATTTGAGTTGTTTCGTTATATTGTCTGTCATAATGCTTCCCTTATCAAAGATCTCTTCTAATTTAACTGACTGTACTCGAACAGAAGAAATGACTATGTTCGAGTACTCGCCGTTATCGTAAAAAAACGGTTTATAGAAACAGTTTATGTTATTATCGAGCTAGGCTTGAGTCACAGGTGATTCAGCAACGGTAAGTAACGGCCTCTGAATCATTTGCAATCGCAGCAGTCTAAGGGTTAGGTATCATAACTCTGCGTTGATGTGTCATTTTTATAATTACAAGATTCATACTATATGGACAGTGGGCACAGTTTATAATAATCCGAGTGACAATAAAGTTTGCATAGCACTATACACGATTAGTTTATTCCGCAACTGGCTGTCGCCCGCGACTCCGTCTGCGCGGATTAAAAAAACAAACTTAATTAGTAGCCTATGTGTTCTTCTAGACTATGTTCTATATCTATGCCAAATTTCCTCGAGATTCGTTGAACCGTTCTGGAGATACTTTCTAACAAACATCCATCCATCTAAAGTAAGATAATACAGTAAAGCTGAGTGTCTATTTTGCATAGTATTTGTGATTGAAATGGAGTAAATCGAGTAATGTTCGAAATTTTAGTATATGTAACTCATCTGAGAAAACTTCATCGTATTCATCGTTTCATTCAATGATTATATTTCTTCATATTCACACCTTGTTTGAATAAAATTGCGAACACAATTATGCAACAGTGCGCCCGTTCTGTTAAACTGCATAACATCGTGTTGCAAGGAGGTTTTACGCAATAACTCTAACAATGAGTTTGTATAAGTAAGTCCACTGATGTTTTAAGTGAGTCATCGTAGGTATCACGATTAGACTGTGGCATTGGTCATCTAAATACATTTTAATAGTCTGTGGTGATTTTGAAAAAAGATAGGTTGAAATGAACAAGTACTATGGTACGGGAGCCAGCAACGTTTTAAAAGTAAGAATTTCAGGTCAGCTGATTTTGTGATATGTCGTTCTTCTTGCTCTTTCGGTTAGAGCCTAGGCAGTCTGGCAGGCGGTAGTGGTTGTGTTCATTAGTGCGAATCCTATTACTACTTAATATTATAAATGTGAATGGATAGATGTTTGTTTGACGGTATCTCCAGAACGGCTGAATGGATCACGATGAAATTTGGCACTTAGAGGATATGTTCTGGAAAACACGTATGCTACTAATTATGTTTTTATTTAACTCCGCGCTGACGTAGTCGCGGGCGGCCGCTAGTTATTGTATAAAATCTTGTTTTTGCTTTAATTTTATTTGTTCGTTTAGAAAATAAGAAAACTAGAAATCTTTTAAAATAAAGAAAAGTGGAATAATAAACTAGAAAGTTTGTCAACGTTCAATTTTTATGTTAACAAAAAGTCTTCTTTTGGAAATATTTCAGTAATCTCCTTTTATTGGGAAAAAAATTAGATCTACATATTTAATATGCACACATAAATCTTATTTTATGGATTTTTTCTTAAGAACGCGATGTCAGCTTAAGGCGTAAAATTGCGGAAAAATCTGTGGCAAATTCAGGGAGCGCGTACTTATTGGATTTTTCAAATGACTAGGCCGGATGGTGTTAAGGGATTCGCAGTTACAGATGGACAAAAAGTTTCACATATACACGTATAATATCTTCTTGGATTTGTTATGTGGATTGAATTTTTCTTATCCAATTTTCAAAAATGATTAACAAGCGGTCGCCCGCGACTTTATCCGGCATTTAAAAAAGGAAATGTTACTAGCTTATGTGTTCTTTCAGACTATGTTTTACATATATGCCTTTCAGCAAGATCCATGTTGTCGTTCAGGAGATACCTTCTAACAATCATCCATCCATCTAAACATTCGCATTTATAATATTAGTAAGATAACAACAAATAATAAATCTGTCGTAATTTATAAATATCTATTTAATGACGACATTATCTGAATTGCTCCAAAATTTCTGCTAATCTATACTAAGATGGACTTTAATCGATTATGAGAGCGGTAAAATACTGTAAAAGTATTCACAGATTTTAAGGATTCTGTTTTTCCCTTTCGAGGTACGGAACCCTAAAAATTATAACAATTGTATGTAAATACAAATACAGTTGTTAAACAGCACTTAATATCTGCCTCTCCGTTCGGATAGTTTTTTCACTGCTT